ATCATCATCATCATCATCATCATCATCATCATCATCATCATCTCGTTTTCCGATCTCACCGAAGTCCTTAGAGCCTTTTGAATCTCCTCGCGAAGACCAAAACTCCTGGATGAAGAAATTAGAATATGCGGGAGAGGGAGAGGGAGGGCATCGAGGAAGAGAAAGGAAGAGAGGGAAGGGAAGAGAAAGAGAAGGTGGTGAAAGAAGAAGAGATAGAAGGAGTTTGTATTGATGGTATGATACTGAGAAAATAAGAGAAGAAGGAGCAGCAGGAGGGAGGGAGGGAGGGAGAGAAGGAGGGAGGGAGGGAGGAAGGGAGGGAGGAGCAAGCAAAAGGAAGAGGATTACCGATAGATCGCGTTCATTGCTCTCGTGAAGTGAACTAGTGACAATCATCAACTGTTTCTCTCCCCATCCCAAACTCACCAACGATGTGAACGTTCCTGACGTATCTATTGGTCCTCTTGTCTTTGCTCGACAGATCACTGTCCATCTGCAATGATGTCAAGAGATCTTGAAAGATGCTACAGGGAAGAAGGAGAGGAGAGGAGAGGAGAGGAGAGGAGAAGAGAGGAGAGGAGAGGAGAGGAGGAGAGGAGAGGAGAGGAGAAGTATGGGAGCAGAGGAAGAGAGCAGGAGAGGAGGAGGAGGGGACGGGAGGAGAGGAGAGGAGGGGGTAGCAGGAAGGGAAAGAGAGCAGGTGAAAATTTGGTTTACCCGGTCACATGTGAGGCAGTCGAGGACGAGGATGACGACGGAGATGAGGAGGATAGCAATGTAGTAGAGGTTGAAGATCAGACCTGAGGTGACCTCGCACTAAGAAACTCCCTTCCTCCTCCTCTCTTCCTCCTCCGTTCTTCCTCCCACTCTTCTCTCCTCCCTCCCTCGCTCCCTCCCTCGCTCCCTTCCTCGCTCCCTTCCTCGCTCCCTCCCTCCCGCACGGCCCCCTTCCTCTTGCACACCTTTCATGCCGTTGTGAACTTGAGGAGAGTAGAGGTACCTGCAGAACAGTCAGCAAGGGACGGGGAGAGGGAGAGGCGAACTTGAAGGCGATGCGGTTGCCGTTGTTGTCCATTCTCAACATCCTTGAGACAACATACATCCAGTGACAGCCAAGGATGACTGAGATGTAGATCAAGTTCTGCCTGTTCACTGCTTGACCCTGAAATGCGCATGTCACTTCCTCCCCTATTTGCAACTTCTCTCCATGCCTGTTACACTTTTCCTCTCTAATCTTTCCCTCTGCTCTGCTCTGCTCTGCTCTGCTCTGCTCTGCTCTGCTCTGCTCTGCTCTGCTCTGCTCTGCTCTGCTCTGCTCTGCTCTGCTCTGCTCTGCTCTGCTCTGCTCTGCTCTGCTCTGCTCTGCTCTGCTCTGCTCTGCTCTGCTCTGCTCTGCTCTGCTATGCTCTGCTCTGCTCTGCTCTGCTCTCCCTTACATTGCATATGAAGGTCTCGTTAGGCCAGAACAGCTGCAGCACTATCGCTCCGACCTTGCAAGAAAGTCAGATACACAAGAACTTGAACACATAGCGCCCTCCTCCTCCTCCTCCTCCCTCCTCCTCCTCCCTCCTCCTCCCTCCCTCCTCCCTTCTCTTCCTCTCTTCTCCTCCTCTCTCCTTAAAAAATCTCTCCTGCTCTCAAGTGCTCCTCGTCCCTCTTCGTATCCTCCCCCTACTTATTCCCCTCCCCCCCCCCCACTTCCTCCCCTTACAAAGTCAGCGATGGCCAGCGCAAGGATCCAGGAGGTTCGGAGCACAAGCTCGAGTCGCCAGACGGCAGCAAACTCTTCGTCGTCGTCCACTGCAAACTTGTGAGCAAGACGACAACAGCAGCACACGAGGAGAACGAAAAAGAGGAGAAGCGAGAAGACGGAGATGGAGGGCAAAGAAACGGAACGGTGAAACGAGGGAGGAAGAAGAAAGGGAATGAAGGAAGGGAGAAGGAGAATGGCAGAAGCAGGAGAGGGAGAGAGAGCAAGCAAAGTTTCACAGTTCAGTTTCACAACCTTCCATGTCTGTCATCTCATCCGCCGCCTCAACCTTGGGCGCCATGTACTCCTGCGCCCTCTGCAGAATCGCCTTGACTGACCCGGGGGTCCTCGCGACCTCCTCGATGGGGGAGGAGGTGGCGTCGGCGATAGTCTCCTGGCCGATGAGGCGAGCGAAGGGAAAGACGAGAATCTTTCCTCGGATGCGATCCCAGTTCTTGTTCACGTACTCGAAGAGCGCTGAGTGCGACTTCATTCGATTAATCCGTTTCCTCGGGACGTCCGTGTCCTTCGAGGCGACGGGGGGAGCAGGGGCAGGATCTTTCAACCTGCTGACCATGGAGTCTGCGTTGGACGCTGCTCCCTGCTCCTTGCTCCACGCTGCTCCCTGCTCCTTGATCCACGCTGCTCCCTGCTCCTTGCTCCTCGCTGCTCCTTGCTCCTTGATCCACGCCGTCTGCTCGCTGATAGAGACTGGGAGACTGCAGACTCTCGAGAACGACCTTCCGTCGTTGCCCTCTGAAGTCTTCCGAGCCTTCGAGAATTTCTCGACGCCACCCTCCTCTCCAGCCTTCTCGGGGAGCATCGAAACTTGGTCTGCCTCCTCGTGCTCAACGTCTCGCTGGAAGGAGGTGGAGACGCTGGTGACGAACACGAAGCCTGTGGCAGCCTCGAGCCGCAACCCCTCAGGAGGAGGAGGAGGAGGAGGAGGGTTGACTTGCTCAAGAGGGTCAAGCTCCCTATGCAGAGAGAGCGGCTGCATCTTTAAGGGATGTGCTCAGTCAAGTCTCCTGCTCAGGTCACATGCTTCCCTTTATGCTCGCACCCGGTGGAACGCTCGACGCATCCAATTGCTCGCATCTGCCCCTCTTGACCCTTCCGCGGGACGAGGACGAGGACGAGGGCTCCTCTCGGCCAAGTGCGTCAGGTACCAACAAGGAAGATGAGAGAATGGCGTCCGAGCTCTAGCTTTCCTCCTCTCTCTCTCTCCCTGCTCAGTCCTTCTCCTCCCCTTCCTCGCCCGCGGCGTCTTCCCTTTCCGCACCCCCCTTGACGTGCATTGACTACCTCCTAAAACTATTGTATGGAAGGCGCGTACTAAAAACAGGCGAATGTATAAAACTGAGTGGTACAAATGATCGGTTAGCTCCAAGTACATCTCTCTCTAAAAGTTTTATAAGAGTCGTATCCAGTACAGAAAAGGTTCCATATAAAATATAAATTGAGATGGTCATAAATTGACCCACACCCACCCAATACTCGCGATGGCGAGCGAAAGG